CCCCCCCTCCTAAAAAAACCCCCAATAAAAAGACACGTTGGAGGAAATGTGAAGTGGCCCTTTACTTTAAATGTTCAGGTGAAAGTCTTATGCAGGTGGCCGTTTAAGCAGGTTTTGCTGTATTGTGTAACGAGACCTCATTTGGATTTAAATCGTAATCGCTTCCAGGTCACGCACGTGAATTCGGAATAAACGCCACATCATCCTTCTTAATAATGTCTGTTCTTCTATGACGCGCCTGCTTTTTCACACATATTCCCATTCCACGTGAGTATCTTTTACAGCAGACATGAACCAGATACAGCCCGCGGACCAGATCCGGCCCGCGAGCACTCTCAGTCTGGCTCACGAGTCAACCCATAGTAGCATACTATAAATGAATGTGGCTCAATGTGGGTTGAAAGTGAATTTGATAATTATATTAACTATTAACGTACTATCACTGTGCTGTTCTGAAAAAGGGAGACGCGTACGAATTGAGCTTCAAATGTAATGCGAAAAAGTAGACAGATGCAAAATGAAAATAAACTTAATTAGGAAACTTAAAAACAAACAAGCACCCCCTCTATAAAAAATGCACCCCCCCTAAAACAACAACAACAACAAAACAACAACAAAACAACAACAACAACAACAACATCAACAACAACAACAACAACCAAACATAAACAAAACAAAAAATGCAAACCCAAAACAAAACAGAAAATAACAAACAGAAAGAACAATCAAACGACAACAACAGAAATCTCCAACAAAACCTCAAACCAATGGCAAAAATCGAATCAAGCAAATACAAGAAACCTCAAACTAATAACACATGCATAGGACCTTTATCTGATTGACCTACTAATATGGATACTAGCGATGGCTTGCTCATATTAAATTATGTCAATTTAACACAGGCTCATCACTGCCGATTCTTTATTTCTCAACCCAACTAAGAAACCTTCAGAAACTAATACAAAGACAGATAAACAGTAGGAACAAATCGTTTATTTCTTTGTTGGCCCGTCTCTTTTCATTAGCGGGAATTTAAAAACTAAATTGACTCAAAGCTAAACAAAACGACGACATAGTTAGAAAGAAAACACGGAAAGAGAGACTTCGCTTCAACTGATTTCTATTATGTACAGAAACCAAACAATGAAACAGCTATCAAATCTTTTTCTCTCGGAAAGAGATCAACCTTTATTTTTTTAGATCCCACCCACTGTTAAACCCGTTGTGCTCTGTCAGGTCCCCTTGTTCGAAATAGGAATTATGCGATTTGGGTCAAGCTATTCAGGTTCAGCGAAGGAAACACGATCTGCTTAAGGTTGTTTGACTCCCTCTAGGGCTTAGCGAAGAAAGGTAATACTGTTTATCAGGTGTTTCATCCTTCCACCCCTACGTGCGACAGTAATCTCTCCCAAGTTTGTCCAATCATAACTCGTAAAAGTCCGCCTATAAATACCAATAATTCAGCGTGCCGCTAACGCTTGCGGGAGGTTCCCATACGCGTTGACACTTCCGCAAAGTTGAAAAGGTCACACAAACAAGTTACCTGTACCTGTACGCTTGTGCGGACTCATTCACTGTTCTGTCGAATTTTGTCACCCAGGGCAAGATCGTTGTGTAGTTGTGAAGATTTCGGGACGTATTGTGTGGATTGACGTTTTGATGAAGTGTTGTATTCAGGTGACTGATTGGTTTGGATAAAAACAATGTCTTATTCATATAACTCCCTTGGGCGTCAACAGGAAGGGGCAGGGGGTCGTCTCGGTTCTAGCAGTTCTCAGGCAGGAACTTTGAACCGAACTCAAGTGGAACGACGTCCTGCTCAGTTTATTTCAGCAAAGAATCGTTCTGGATCCACCGACAGGCTCAATAGTAGCAGCAGCAGTTTGAGTGGCAGTAGGAGTAACCTGTCAGCCCAAAAGCAAAACGCTACCAGTGCCGGGAACATTAGCGTTGGGAGTTCTCCAGGTAGAGTAAGAGGAGGAAATCCTCCGCAACAGCCTCAACACCAACAACCCCCTCACCAGCAAGCAGTGTCGAGTCCCAAGAGCCCTAATTATTCAAACGTACCGTCAACAAATTACGTTAACCGAAACGGGAGAGATCTTCGTGGTAGCACCAGCAGCACGCAGAGTTATGGACCCAGGGTGGAGGACAGTAGCAGAGTGGTTGCAGATGCTAAGTTTCGTGAGTTCGAGAAAGTGCGGGTTGACTACTTGCGACGTGGGAAGTTGTACGAGGACACAATGTTCTTGCCAGCTGACTCATCCATTTACTTCAGCAGACAACCTCCGTATGATTTTGAGTGGTTAAGAGCAAAGGTAAGTTCGTCTCAGTCAAGAATTTATGTTTTTTTGTTTTTTTTTTACATTTTAGCCTTTACTTTTCTTTCTCTCCCGCCTTCTACCCCCCCTCTCTGATAT